TTGCACACACTGTACAGTCACACTATTTCCACAACTTTGTAAACTAGTTTCGCTCAATTAGTGCTCTGAGATAGAAGTATAAAATAAAATATCTACTAAACCAAGTTATGGTATAAGATCATCACAATTTAACAGTAAACATCCATTCACTTGTGGTTACAATATAATTATTTTGAAGGGGCGGGAATTATAATGGAAATTTTCCTTTAAAGTTACAATTATTTATATGAAAAAAAATAGGAATGGCGTTTACAACTTAAGGTTTCTTTAGATTTTGAAGGGCAGAACACTGTATATGACAAAAAAATTAGAAATAATACTCATTTCTAAAGGTTTATATAAATTTAAAGGGACTAACACCTCTACCACCTAGCACCATCACCGAGTGAAAAATTTCTTTACTGATACTGATGCACTGAGTTTTCGGTGTATCTTTTAACTTACAATGTGAAAGTATCTCATTTATTGTCAAATCATTAATAAATAATTTATTTTAAAATCATTGTGAGAAATAATTTGACAAGAAATAAGAAATGTGTCATATTGTGAGTGGAAGATACACCAAAACCTCGTACACCTGTGGCATTCTCCACTGAGTGATGCATAATCCAAAATTTAAGAGTAAAGATCAGAAACGAAGGAATTAAGAAGTAGTAGTAACCGTAGATTGGATGATAGGAGGTGATTCAAAATGAAGGGAGCGCACAGACATCTTAGCGATCTCAGTGATGGCAGCGTCTATAACCTCAGCCACGTCACTTGACAAATCTTCATACGCAGCCTCGAAAGCCTCTTGCCAGAACCGTGGCAACCTTATCGTGTTACTATTCGTGTACACATCCCACATGTGTTTCACCACCTTCTCCCTCTCCTCCGTTTCCTACAGTGACACCCATCATTCGTAAATATAAGGAGAAAAAGGGACCAAAAAATAAATATGGAAACTTACGAGGACGTCGAGGTCGTCGTGCGTGGGAACATGAAGTTCGTGGGAGAAAGTGTTGAGGGTCCCTGAAAAGCGAAGTAACAGAAGTTGCTGTAATTCGCAGCTTAATGATATATCAAATTGGGTCTATTATATAGACCAAGATTTACAATTGGTTACATCAGGAAATCAGCTAAACTTAAGGAACAGAAAGCATAAATCAAGCTAATCTATTTACATCAGGAAATCAGCTAAACTTAAGGAACAGAAAGCATAAATCAAGCTAATCTATTTTAATATACAAGGTAACAAACCGTGATAGTTACAATCAGGATCCTAACAAATTAATGCTACTCTAATACTCCCCCTCAAGGTGGAGCATGGAGGGAGGAGATGCCCAACTTGGAAGTCAAAAAATCGAATTGTTTGGATCCAAGTGCTTTGGTCATAATATCTGCGGGTTGAGAACTAGTGGGGATATGTTGAGTAGAAATAGTCTTGCTGAGAAGATAGTCCCGAACAAAATGGCAATCTAACTCGATATGCTTGGTACGCTCATGGAACACTGGATTAGAAGCAATATGAATAGCAGACTGACTGTCACAAAACAGTTGCATAGGGGCTGCATGAGGAATATCAAGAGAGCTGAGAAAAGACTTTAACCAAATAAGCTCAGAAGTCGCAGCTGCCATGGCACGGTATTCAGCTTCAGCAGAGGAGCGGGATATTGTGTTTTGCTTCTTGGTTTTCCAAGAAATAGGAGAATGTCCAAGAGTAACAAAATAACCAGTGACTGATTTTCGAGTCAAGGGACAACTAGCCCAATCCGAATCACAATAGGCACGAAGAAGAAGATCACTGTCAGATCGAAGAAGGAGTCCTTGGCCAGGATTGGACTTAATGTACCGAAGAACACGAATAGCCGCATCGTAATGTATCTGCATAGGATGCTGCAAAAACTGAGAAAGTGTGTGAACTGCATAACTAAGTTCTGGTCGTGTAATCGTGAGATATACAAGACGGCCAACAATACGTCTATAACGTTTAGGATCATCAAACGGAGGTCCTTCAGCAAGAGCAAGCTTGTGATTGGGATCCATAGGATAAGCAACCGGTTTACAACTTTGAAGTCCACATTCCTTAAGAATATCCAAAGCAAATTTGCGTTGAGTAAGAAACAAACCGGTCTTGCTTCGAGCAAATTCAATGCCAAGAAAATACTTGAGGGGACCAAGATCTTTGATTTTAAACCAGGTTTGTAAATGAGCTTTGACACGGTCACAGAGAGAAGGATCACTACCTGCCAACAAAATATCATCTACATAGACAAGTATAGCAACATAATGGGAACCAGTCGAGTAAGTGAACAACGTATAATCAGCACGAGACTGAACAAAGCCGAAACTGAGGAGAGAACTACGAAGCTTAGCAAACCAATTTCGTGGGGATTGCTTGAGACCATAAAGTGAACGTTGAAGCTTACAGGCGTGACCAGACTTGGTTTGGGAGAAACCGGGAGGAAAACGCATAAAGACTTCTTCATCCAAATCGCCATGGAGAAAGGCATTTTGAACATCCAGCTGAAAAATGCTCCATTTTCGAGCTACAGCTACAGATAAAAATGTACGCACACTTGTCATTTTAGCCACCGGTGCAAAAGTCTCAGTGTAATCTTCTCCTTCGATCTGATTGTTCCCAGCAATAACCAGACGCGCTTTATAGCGTTCAATGGTTCCATCAGAATTGTACTTGATGCGGTACACCCACTTACATGGAATAGCTTTCTTACCAGAAGGGAGAGGTTGAATTTGCCAAGTATGATTGGCTTCCAATGCATCAATTTCGGCTTGCATGGCTTTCTGCCAATGAGGATATTGCATAGCCTCTTTAAATGATTTGGGTTCCAGGTTACTATCCACGGCGGCAAGAAAAATCTGATGGTGCGAAGAAAATAATGCATTAGAAACATAATGATCAATGGAATATTGAATACCTGAGTCGATTGGAGAAGTGGAGAGACGAGGAAAGGGTGTAGTCATTGTGTTGCATACATAATCCTTTAAATGAGATGGGGGACGTCTGGCACGCTGTTCACGAATATCTGCCACAGATGCAGTGTTGGGTTCTGTCAACGGAACCGGTGAACCAGGGACATCCGTGGATGAAGTAATAGAACCCGGAACTGGGGAGGACGAACTCCCCCTGTCATCAAGCTCCGCTGTGGGAGTATCAATAGCAGTAACAGGTGCCACATCATAATCGGTGAAGACAGCTTGTGGTGACGGTACATGGACAGAAGGTGCAGATGAAGTTGCAGCCAATGGAAAAATAGTTTCATGAAATAAAACATCACGAGAAACAAATATTTCATGAGTGGAGATATCCATGACCTTCCATCCTTTTTTGTTGAAAGGGTAGCCAACAAACACACACTTACGGGAGCGAGGAGCGAACTTGTCATGTGGTTTGGGTAAAACAGTAGTGTAACATAAACTCCCAAAGACCCGTAAGTGATCATACTTTGGTGGAGTGCCATGCAAAACTTCATAGGGACACTGACCACCAAGGAGTGGAGTCGGTGTCCTGTTGATGAGGTGAGCAGCGGTCAAGATGCATTCTCCCCAAAGAGATATAGGTAAGTGACCATCAAAACGCAAAGCACGAGCCACGTTGAGGATGTGACGATGACGACGTTCAACGCGTCCATTTTGCTGTGGGGTGTAAGTGCATGATAATTGATGATGAATACCGTAGGATGAGAGAGCCTCTTGGACTACAGATGACAAAAATTCAGTCCCATTATCACTCTGAATTCGCTTAACAGATGCATCATATTGGGTGCGAACCAAGTGGAGAAACCGAAGTAAACATGTGGAAGTTTCAGTTTTATTGCGCATCAAAAAAATCCAAACATGTCTACTAAAATCATCGACTACAGTTAAAAAATAGCGGGCACCAGTTGTAGATGCCATATGATATGGCCCCCATATATCACAGTGAAGTAAATCAAAAGGATGTAAACAACGTTTATTATTAATAGGAAAAGGACTTCGTGGTTGTTTGGCTTTACAACAAACGTCACAAGGAGCCAAATTATTTGCATTGGAAATAAAAGGTAACAAAGATAAATAACGGGAAGATGGATGTCCTAGACGACGATGCCATAGTGCTGCAGAATCTGACGTACTGGCAACATGAGCAGAAGCTGATGATGCACACAATATATACACCCCTTCTCGTTCAACACCCGTTCCAATCGTCCTCTTCTGCTTTAGGTCCTGTATCAAACAAACAGAATTAACAAACAATGCCAAGCAAGACTGGCGCAGAAGCTGAGATACAGAAATCAAATTACAAGCCAACGAAGGGACATAAAGAACATTGGAGAGATGAAGAGAAGAGCCCAAAGTAATGCTGCCACATTGCGTAGCAATATCATGAACTCCATTCGGCAGTCCCACAGAACAAGGAGAAATAGAATGCACATTGGATAGATAGGAGAGTGTGCCCGTCATGTGTTGGGATGCACCACTGTCGATGATCCAAGATGGGTGTAAAATCTTACCCGTAAGTTTATCAACTGGAGGGGCAGAAGAGACAGCCAAGGACATGAGATGTTGTAGAACTTCTGGTGTAAAATCTGCCATGGAGATGGATGCTGATGACGGCTCAGAAGGAACCGAAGGCAGAGAAGTATGAGCAGCCCGAGCAGATTGTGGGTGAGATCGTGCAGTGGATGAACGACCACGACCACGGCTTCGTCCAGGAGGAGGGCTGCGTCCAGGAGTGGGGCGATCTGGGTAACCAATCAGCTGATAACATCTTGTTATGTCATGATAAGGTTTGCCACAGTAAGTGCATGTGACTTTAGGTTTGGAAGAATCTCCTAGTTCTTTGGAGACAGTAAGCTTAGCCCAATTTTCATAATTGGATTGTCCACGGAGGATGACCGTGGTGAGAACAGCACCAGGATTGTCGGATGGGTGCAGGTAAAAGGGTGACTTAGAATCAGAAACCTTGAAGGTTTTAGGTGCGGAAGTCATGATGAAAAAAAAAAAAAAAAAATGAAGGCTTGTTGATCGTCAAGCTCTTGATACCATAACAGAAGTTGCTGTCATTCGCAGCTTGATGATATATCAAATTGGGTCTATTATATAGACCAAGATTTACAATTGGTTACATCAGGAAATCAGCTAAACTTAAGGAACAGAAAGCATACATCAAGCTAATCTATTTACATCAGGAAATCAGCTAAAACTAAGGAACAGAAAGCATAAATCAAGCTAATCTATTTTAATATACAAGGTAACAAACCGTGATAGTTACAATCAGGATCCTAACAAATTAATGCTACTCTAATACCCCTGAGATAACAACTTTGTTAACACTTTATTATTCTTAGTATTCCCCGTTAATAATTTAGAAAATTATATTCTTTGATAAATCTTAGACTTTTCTTATGTCTAACAAAGCAAACTAGTTGGTCCGCATATAAATATTCCTCCGAAAAGTTATATATTTCTATGGTCACGAGGTGTTTAACTGCTTTACCCTTGTTTCTTGTCCAGTATAAGTCCTCAAAGAAATTGTTACTTTTTTAAGGAGGGTCATTTTTGTTTCCCAAATTCATAAGCTCCTTTTGCATATAATCTTTGCCCAAAACTATTTATAGAAATAAGTTTGAGAATTACAACATGAATATACATAAGCAATAACAAAGCATCAATGGCACATCTCATAATTTTCTTGCCAAAGGGAATTGTATCCATGTTCTCCCATGGCAAACCCATCATACACCATCAAGTTGTTAGCCATCCCATTATTCTTCTCATCATCAAAAGGGTCAATAAACCAGCTCCCATCATCACATGGTGAGGATGGCATCAAATCCATATCTACAAATTCCACCTCAAATTCACATGATGAAGCCCAATAATCCTGGCCGTCCATCTCACCTATGTTCCATAATTGAGTATCCTCTTCAATATTACTCATCAATTCTGTGGATGCAGAATCATGACACCCCATGATCTTATTTCCACTTATTTCAGCCTCAAAAGATCTAATCAAGCTATCTAATCTATCATTATCGCTCTCTTCACTTGGTGATTCTTCCATCAATGACATCAAAAGAGCACCGTTGATTTCCAAGACTTCCATCCCTCTGACCCCATCATCATCGTTGATGAAAGCCAAAGTTTCACAAACTTGAGAAGCCATTTTGGTGCAGATTGGTTTGTTTTGTTGTCTTTGCAAGAGAGGAGAAAAAGGGTGAACAATAATAGAAACTATAATAGAGAATATGTAACAAAGAGAACAGGTTTTAGATGCATTGGTTCTATGACCAAAGTTGTGGGCTTTATATAGGCACCCCATAAGGTATCTTACTATCTTATCACCTCAAGAGGTGGACGTTACATGCATCATGACCTAGACAGCCATGTGCACATGTGCACATTGGAGAACTAATTATATGGATTGATTATGCTGCATGGTGACATAGCATAGGGAAAAGTTAAGCAAATAATAAAGAATAGGTCCTTATTGCTCGTGTGCTGTGGCAATAAGAGCGGCTTGAAGTAAGCAAGATCTTGCGGAAATCATAGAATCTGACCCATAACGTCAATTGAGGGTGGGACAAGGAAACATGAAAAGACAAAGCTTTCAGTGGTTGAAACGTCTAGTTGCAATAAAGGAAGGAATAGTCATATATAATGACTGACTTGTTAGCAGTCTACATGTGTTAAAGCAAAAAGAACCACTTAAAAATAGATATGAATATCGAATACATAAAGGAATTTTCACTTATAAGAGCGTTTCAATTTGACACGATTTGAGAACAATCTATTATGGCTCTTAAATTACTTTCTAAAATGTCAAGGTTAAATTTTGCTATTGGATAAAGCGGAATATGTTTTATCAAATGACAAAACATATGTAATGTTGGAGAGTATAGTGTCATTCATTTAGGGCGATGAGCTTGTTAAAAAAAAAGACTTTTTATGCTTTATTTTTTTTAGAAGAATTTTTTTCAAAAGTTAAAACTATTTTGTATTTAGATGTAATATATGAAAAACACTTTTAACTATATATATTATTAGGATGTTAAAATTAAAAATCATTTTTCATCTGTAAAGTTACAAAAAAGGACATGTGAAAAAAATAATGAGAACAAATTTGATTGTGGTGGAGGCGATTGTGATAGAAACGAATGGTGGGGGAGGTGGCGGGGCGGTGGTATATGTGGTGGTGGGGTGGTAGCGACGACAATGTGGTGGTGGTGGCAGTAGCAGGGTGGCGACAAGAATGACAGTGGTATAGGTGGTGACTATAATATCCCTAATAATTAAATCACATAATGAGGAAATTAATGTGTAATTAGAGAGATTAAATTAGAAAGAAAGCCTATTTGTAATTTGTGCAAAGTGGGAGACACCCGAAGGAAATTAAATAAGTTACACATAAGTGCAATGACCCAATTTGAATCCAACTAAATGGTTGGATTTGAACTAAGTAATATTGGAGGAAACCAAGGGGCAAATGGGTCCTTTTACACCCTTGATATTTAAAAATTATAATTATCCTAACTACTCTCCCTCTCCCTTTCCCTCCTATTCTCTTCTACTCCTCCACGTCTCTCTTCCCTCTCCTACCACCTTCATTTTCTTCTTCCCTCTATCATCGACCAAGAGAGAAAGCAAAAGAGAGTAGTGTGCTAATCCATCCTTTCTCTTCATTGGGTGAACACCATCCTCCTTCCCTTGCCTTCCATTTGTTGTTCTTGAAATAAGAAGAAGACACAGACCCCAACCCACCTCATTTTCGTGGGTCTTGAAAGAGTAGTCTTGGAGGGGAGTTTTTGAGTTATTGGAAGGTTAGAAATCCTCTAGAAAGGAGCCTTGAGGTAAGCCACAACCATTGTGGGTTATTTTCTTGAGTTTTAGTGGATTTTATGATTTGGGGGTTAGGGTTTTCTACCTAATCTTGAGAAATCCAAAATTGAGGAAAAAAATGTGGGTTTGATGTTGGAAAACTTCGTTGCTTTGTGTAGGAATTTTGTGTTGTTGTATTGATGGTTAATGGAAAATCCAACTTGTTTATAGGTTGGAAGGTTGTGAATTGTTGATAGGGGATACTTGAGCCAAGAGGAGCTTGAGGAGTAACTTGTATAAGGTAAACTCTTGAATTTTGGAGATTTTCCCCCTTGTTGTTCCACCACACCCTATGGATTGATGTGGTTTGCATTGCATGTGTGTACATTGGTGTGAAAATTGGGTGTATATGCATGTTCTCGTATTGTGGTTGGTTTTGCGCTTATGCTTGATTGGATTGAATGTCTTGCACTTATGCTTGACTGGATCGGTTGGTCTTGCGCTTATGCTTGACTAAACGATTCTCTGGCCAGTAGAATTATTATGTGTTGAATGCTATATGCTATTTTGATGCTTGTATAACATGTAAGTGAGCTCGGGGTTGGAGGAGTCTCCAAGGTCCCCGAGTTTATTGAGATTGTCTCTCACCTCTTGTGGGATTTATTTTTAGGATCCATAGATGGTACAGGAGACGGACCTCAGGGCAGGAGGCTCGAGCAGTGATGCATACTTTCACATTGATTTTGAATATTTTGACATGCTTGCATACTTGTATCATTTGATTGAGGCTCTAGCTAGTATTTTGATTATGCATGTAATTATGTGAAGATGAATATTTTGTGGAAAAGCATAGTGAAACTTGAATTGTAATTGAGTTACCATTGGATATGTATTTGAGTACCATTTGGATATGTAATTGAGACTATGGATAATTGTATAATCATACGAGTTCTTGTACAATTGAATAGCTTCTTATTTTAGAGTATGATGAATGGTTTGAAGTTGAATGATATGTTGGATATGTATGATCTGTTAGGTACCTTCATGGGGGGTTTTGTTTCTTATAATAGAGGTTAAATACCTCAAAATAACCTTCCCCTGTCCTAGAAAGCGCGCTTAAGAGCCCATGGCGCGCTCCAACGTGCTACGAGGGCTGGAAATGAAATTTTTTTCTTGTCGTTGCATGCTTGAGCGCCTTATAGCGCACTAAAGCGCCCTAAATGACCAAAAAATGTATTTCTCCTTGTCCTAACGCACCTAAGTGCTCTAGGGCGTGCTCGAGAGCGCAAAAATGAAGAAAATAGGCTCGAAGAGCGCGCTCACCCAGAGACAACAACAACATGCTTTAGTAAAATGGCCATAACGGGAGCTATAGAGCTCCAAATTGAGCGCAATTTGAACCTATGTGAAGCTAACACATAGACCCACAACCATTTTAGAACCACTGGAACTGTATATAAAAACTGGCATCATTTTGAAGTTGATGCTCTATTTCCAGAAGTGCGGTTTGGAGCAATGAAATTGCAAGTTGTGTAACCCAAGTTATACTTAACTGATTGGTTAATATTATACCTTTTTGGAAAGCCCAAAATGTATACTTTATTATAGTAAAATATGAGGGCTAACTGTTAAGTAATCTAAATTACAATAATTAATTACTCTGATGTATTGACAAGAAAAGAGAAATTTTACTCGTATATCCGCTTTAATTACTCTGATTCCTATTGCGCTTAATGCCATAATTAATGATAATACACAAGGTACACATGAGGTGTTACAGTGGCGAAATAGTAGTGATGGTGGTGGCGACGATGATGATGTGTGGTGGTAGTGACGGTGGTGGCATTGATGTTAGTGGTGGCTGCGGTTGTAGTATAACATCTCACATATTTAAAATATATTATTAAAGGTTTAATTGAGGATTAAAAGGTTTATTTAGTGAAAATTCTGAAATTCGAGTGAAAATATTCTCGAATGGCAAAATGGTAATTTGGCCAAATACGTAACCCTGAATTATGAAATGATATAATTAGACATTATTCGGTAAAAATAATGTTGGATTTGGATTCAAAATGAAATTTGGAAGTGGATAGACACTTTTCAGGAAAATTGATGAATAATGATTTTTACCATATAAAATACTACGGTATAATTTTACTAGGAAACTCGAATGATATTATTGTTCTAGGATTGAATTATGTAAAAGTATCTAAGTCTTGAATTATAAGAAAAGTTTCAAGAAGATTAATTATGTAAATTGAATTCTAGATATTTTATAACTTAATGTAAAAGTCATATTTGGTGACTAAGCTATATTGGTCATAAAATTAGATTATTTTGGCTTGTCTTCTTCCTCTCTATACATGCTTGGCCGAAACCTCAATGGCAACAGAGCTTGGAGTTGCAACTTTTTATTTTGTCACCAAATGAAGAAATTTTGAACATGAAAAATGTTAGAAATCCATTGGTGATCAAAACCCTTTAAAGAAATCATTAAGAAAGTGAGTGAGTGAGGAGAAAACTTACCTTGAAGGTGGCGATTTTCATGGTGTCTTGAAGCAAGGAGAAGTGTTTTAATCCATTGAAAACTTGAAATTCATTCCATAGGCCATTTTGAAGACTTTTGTGGTGAGAAAATCTTACTTTTATCTTGTTTTATGACGATTCAATATTTAGGTTTTCGTGAAAGTTGTAAGCTTAAATAGGGATGTTCAAGTGATTTTTGAACTTGGTTGTAGTTGGAAAGAATGATAAGGATTAAAAATAATCGGTGAAAATGTGTTCAAAATGTCATTTTGACAACTTTTAGAATCTTCGAAAATTTTGAAGACATAATGGATGTCTATGTTGGTGGGTATAGTTGAAGAGATTTAATGACTGTCTCTTTAGAATTTAATGTTTGTATGGACAAATAAACGGTAGAAATTCAATAAAAATTTAAGTAATTTTGGTGAGAAGACTTAGACAAGTTTTCAAGGTGAAATATTAATACTTGTGAAGGAAGTTATTGATGGATGGTGTAATTGGATTGATTATTGTTTGAATTATAAATGATGAAAGATAAGAGTTTTAAGCATTGGAATTGTTGAAAATTACTTTAGCTCTCATTATGTGTTCCTTCGGCGATATAGAGTTTTTACGGGAAAAGGTGATAAATTGTATTGTGACTTGATGATGGATGTATTTGTAGGTTGGTGATTTTGTTGATAACGTATTTTGAACACTTGAATGGATAGAAAATCTTTTGGTTCCCTTGGTTACACACCCTCGGCCTTGTAAGCTTTAATTGGGGGAAATTGTGTAAAATTACAATGTAAGGCAAATAAGGTTTGTCATGATTTTGTGAAAGGTTATTGAAGTAATGGAATTATTTAGTTGAAATTAAAACACCATGGAAGGTATTTTTGGCATTTTTGGTCGTGGACTAGGGTTTATTTTGGGACTA